GTGCTGGTTCCCAGAGGCTGAGGTGAGCCACAGCTGTTCCATGGGCCGTGAGCAGGGTTGGCAGAGGGGCTCAGTGAAACCCAACTCTGTGGCGCTTAGTGGCTGCTGCTCTCCCTGCCAGCAGTGGGTTTCCAGCTGCTCATGTTAAGGCACCGGCTATATCCTGCCAGCACATGGAGGAGGCAGGCAGTAGGAAACCTGCAGTGTAGCAGAGGACAGTGGAATGGGGAGCCAGCCTGTGCCCTGCCAGGCTGTTCCTAGCCAGCCACTTGGCCCCAGAATAGTCTGGGGAGGGCAGGACTGACTTCTGGGCTCCTGGCATCTCTCCTGGTGCTGGTGGCACCCTGTGCTTTTTCTGAGGGCAATAGGATGCCCTTCTGCTCCTCTGTTGCGGGTGTCCAGTCCCATCTCCACATTATCAGTGTCTGTAGCTGACAGCCTTAGGCTCCGTTGGCTTTGCTCCATGCTTTTGAGAGGTCTGTGCAGCTTCCCCCACTCCCAGCCTGGGAGCTGCATTCCTGCCTGACCGTGTCCCTCACATCGGAGCTTTTTCCCTGTGCTGGTTTCATGCTGCTTCTCTCAGGCTGCTGTGCAGTTCCCTGCTTGAGCACCATGCTGGGAAGCTTTCTCCCAGCTTTCCATATGCAGGGGGATCTGGGAATGGGCACCTGGGCTGTGGGACTGGCTTCCCTTTAAGCAGGGAGGCACGGAGCTGTGGGCATCTGCTACAGGAACAGATGGCCTATCCAAATTGCCAAGGCTGGCCTGAACTGCTGCTGCTTTGTTGTTCTGCAAAAGGAGCTCTGAGAGATAAGGAACTTTTTAACATCCCTCTCAGTCTGGGTCACGGGCAATGCTGATGAAACCAAAATAAAATCTGTGTGAATTGCTGCTGCCCCATCCCCTGCTCTTGCCTGACCCTTGCGCTCTGATGTTTGCTTGCCCTCTGCTCTTTATTAAGGATAATTCACCTTCCCAGGCTGTCACTGTGGCTGCTTGGCTTTCAGCATAGAAGCCAAACAGCAGCGGCTTCTTTAAATCAGTGCTGCCCAATTTCTTGATAACCAGGAGGCAGATTATTTAGTGCAGTGGCAAATAAACTTCATAATGTTATGATGGTGGAAAGTTGTCAAGGGATATGAATGTGCAGCTCAGCCCAGAAACCTCCAAGGAGACAGCTTTAGTTTAAATGAAGACAAAACTCTATCTTTCATGGATTTTGGGAAGGAAATCACATTGTTGTAATGGGAACATTACCCTGAGCCTTAGGGCTGGCAAACTCTTGACTTTATGAAGTATAAGTGGAGAGGCTGAGCTAGCCTGGCAGGTATGCTTTAAAGAAGGCCTGCGGCACATTGAACCTGGCAGTGGGACTGGGCAGGGCGCAGTGCTCTGAACCCCTCCCTGCACTCCCAGCCTCGAGGTACTGCTTGGGATCTGGGACAGAGGGAGCAAGGAAGGTGTGGGTCATGTTGGGCACCAAATGGCAGCAAAGGGGTTGTGGGACCGGAGCCTGGAGAGAGGCAGGATGGAGCTGCCACCAGCAGGAGGTAGGATTATGACCAGAACTGTATTAAAAAAAAAAAAAAAAGCCTCAGACCCCTGTGCTCCCATCTCCTGTTCTTCCCAGCAAGCCTGACCTTGGGAACACTTGGTTGTGCATCTTGTGAAGGGCCTGGCAGGAGGTGGGACAGCTGGTCCCTTTTGCCTTATTTTGGTCAAGGCACGGACAAGTGCTGGGGACTGCACTCAAATCGCTGTGTGGGCTTGGGTGTCTCCTTCAGTACTGCTTTGCTCTCTGGATGAGCTTCCCATGAGAAACTGCAAAGCTGCAGCATTTCCTTTCTCCCACTTGCCTCTGAGCCCTGCACAAAGCAGCTGCAAGCATCCTGTTGCTGCCTCCATCCCTCCTGCTCTGGTTGTTTGGGGAAAAGAGATTTTGCAACAGTTTCTAATTAAAGTCAGTGAAGATGCTTCCAGGCAGTTCCTTTTGTCCTCTGGGGACAAACTGTCAGTGTGGAGGGACAGGGGCTGCAGTATGACAGATGGGTGTCATCATCCCTTTGACAGGCTGGAAGGAAGCAGTAAGAGTCCTTCTTTAACCTGCGTGCTCATGGCATCCTCAGCTCCTGGAGGAGCACCCAGAAGGACTGAAAGTGGCAAGGGGTTATAGTTAGCAGTGGCTGCTTGTAAAGCCTGGTCCCATCCTTGGGTGTTTGGTGTGGTCATCTGCCATGGGCACTGGCAGTCAGATAGGTGCTGACCCTGTGCCTCTCTCACCAAGTCCTTGCTGCCAGTTGGGTGCTGAGCTGTGCCGTGGAATTCTTGTCCCCTGAAAGAGGGCACGTGAGTTTTCCCTCTGGCCATTGTCTGCAGGGATCCCATTACCATTCATTGTATGGAACGTGTCAGACCTTGCGGGTTCTTGGATCAGGTCCCTGCGCTGGCACTGTTGCAAGGTGGCCTGTATGTGTGCAGCAGAAGGCTGCGAGTTTTGCTTTTGTTTGGCCTCATTCTCTGGACGAACGATTGTGCTGGGTCTGTGCCCTGGTGCAGCCTTCTGGTCTGTGCTGCAGAGTGTCACACGCTGTCATGGGGGCTTTGTGGCACACAGTCTCTGAGCTGATATTGCCGCCTTCAGGTGATGGCACAACTGAAGGTGTTCTTGGCTATGGCTACTGCTGCTAAAGGCTCTTGGTTTGGATGGATGTGTTTTTGGTCATCTCAGTCCTACGAGTGGTGCAGCATTACTCACACATCAGCTGCAGTGATGAATCGGAAGGTAGAAGGGCTGACAGTGCTGGGAAACATGAGCTGTTGTCCCCACTGTGACAGCTATCAATGGCTCATACAGCCCACAGGCAGTCACTGCTTCTGTCCTGCTCCTTGCTGGTGGGGGTTGTCTGCACCCCCACTTCTGAGCTGGCTGAGAGCTGGTGTGCCTGTGCCTTGACTATTCTCAGACCTTTCTGCCTTGGAGTCCACATTCACACAGCTCTGCCCCTTGTGAAGCTTCTGCCTCTGGATCATGATGTAGTACAGATTACAGCTGGAGTGGAAATTTTGGGTAGAAACCATCTATGCAGAGTTTGGGAACTTGCTCACCTCTCTGCAACCACAGCCCTGAGGGCTGCACCATGTCTTGACCAGCGTGTTCCCTTCCCTGTCCGGCACAGGCACTTGCTCTGCAGCATGCAAGCTGTGGATGGGAAGCGAAGCTGCATGGAGCTCAGGAGATCTTGGCATCACACACAGGTGCCTGCTAGTAACGCCTCTTCCCAGGAGTTGAGCTGTGCAAGTCACTGTCATTGCCAGGGAGGACAGCTTGTAAACTGAGACAGGCTCTTGTGTGCATGATGGCAGCTCTGGTGCCATAGCACCCACCCAGACACCGCAGCAAGTACTGCTTCGCAGACTCAGCCAGGACAGATTCTCGTCATGGAGAAGGGCAAAACATGGGCTCATTTCCCTCCTGTAGCTCCGTGCTTGGAAAAAATGCTTTCCAATCAACTAACTAGAGGCTTGCTGAAAGGTCTGCTGATGGTTTTTTCAAGTCCAAACTTTCTCTAGGCTTTGAGGCTTGTTTGGCTGGCATCCCTCTTCTTCTGGGCACTGGCAGGAGGACACCATGGTGAGGGGGGGGGGAACAATGGCACAGGCAAGAGGACCGAGCAGCATGCTGCACTGTGTCCCCCTGTCTGAGGACACTGAGGGCATGGTCAGCACAGTACTCAGAGATCTGCCTGAGGCTGCTGGAGCAAAACGAAGTAATGGAGCTGAAATCAAGAAATATTCATGATGTGGGTAGAGCTTAGAGCTTATGCCTTGAGGGACACTGTGTAGAAATCAATCTGTCTGGTTTTGTTTCTGTCACCACCAGGGGAGTGATAGCTGCTGGGTGATCAGGGTGCCCATGTCAGCCGATCCATGAGTTCTCTGTCCAGTGAAGTTACAAGATGCAAGTTTTCCCTCTTTGATCTCTGCTCGGCTTTCCAAGGGTGTTTATATCCTGCTGCCGAGGTTAGCTCTGTCCTTAGAGCACAGGGCTGCATTTTTCTCTGAGAGCCCCGGGGGTTCCTGCAGCACCTTCCTCTTCCCCCAGCTCTTCAGGGCAGCACACACTCCAGGATACGTTCTTGCTTTGGCAAGGTCTCAGCCCACCAGCACCAGGCAGGGAGCACAATAGGCTGAGGAGCTCTGAGGGGTCTGGCTCAAAAAAATCCTACCAAAAGCTCCAAGTGCAGATCGCAAGCTGACCCCTTCCTTATTCACAGAATGAGATTGAAATGATAGTGTTGAGCTGCATGCAAGTAGAGTTGATGTCCTAGTGCGTGCAGAAGTATTATTTCCTTTTCCTTCTACCCTGCAGATGCCAGGCTGCAACTAGCCCCTTGAGCTAACAGCCCAGTGATGCAGCCTGCAGAGAAGCAACATGCTGTTCTCTGTTGTGACTCAACTACCAAAAGTCTTTTCACAGAAGCGTGGAGGTCACAGAAATGTCGATAGTGTTAGGCCAAGGGCTGCCAGGACACAGCTCTCCTTCAGCAGTACCTGGTGCATGGTGCTCTGATGGTGCACATCAGTGCTGGGCACTCCATGCAGTCAGTCACTCCACACTGTCAGCAGCAGCTCTCAGTGCCTGCGCTGTACTCTTTCAGATTGGAATTCAGTTGCAAGCAATAGGGATATCTTCATCATCAGATCTGAGCTGCTGCCACGTGGTACTGTTATAAGCTGTCAGATTACCCAGCAGTAACCTTCACTGCTGATGTCTGGAGCGTGAGTCCATGTGCCTTTTTCTGACAGCTCTGGAGATAAAAAAGACCATAATCAACCAGTAACCAAACGTAAATGTCAAGCCAAGGGTGTTCTGGCAGGTTTCCTCATGAGAATGTGGTGTGAAAAGGAAGGAAGCTGTGTTAAGAGATCTTCCTGCCCAATGCAGCAACTCAGCAAGCACTGCACTAGCTTTGTGCTGGTGGAATATCTGGGACAGAAAGAACTACCTGTTGAGCTCACTCAGGATATAGGTGGACAATTCTGTCTCTCCCAGCAGCTTAGCCTGGGCAAGCTTGCCACACTCAAGCAGTTCTCTCATGTTGTCTTTTTTCAAATACATTTTATTTGTTCATGTAGTTTTTAACACCTGTTGGTGATGATGCAATTCACTGCAGTATCCCACTGATGTTGGGGAGAAGGGACAGGAATGGAGTGCTGCAGTGACAGGGACAGGCTGGAAGCTGGCTGGTCAGCAAGACATGGTTAAGTCCTCTGGAAAAGCCTCATGGTCCTCGGTGGTGTGATGGCTACCCTGCTAGTCACTGGGCGGGGATGAGTGTATATGCATTACTCATGATGGAACTTGAGAAATCCCTCCGAGGTGATGGTACTTTGTTTTTGCTTTCAGTTCAGCAGGGCTCTAACTCCCCTAATGCTGCTCTCTGAATTGCACATTCCACTGGAGAGCATCACTAGATGAGAGAGACTAGAGACTTCCTTGTATAACCAGCTGGAGGCAAAACCAAACCTGACTTTTCTGTCCTCCACCTTTGTAGCAATTGAAGATTCAGAATTTGCTTCTGCCATGCTCTTTAGAGGCTTGAAACAAACTGGTCTGGAGAATGGGAGTTCTGGTACTAGTCAGAGTCAGCCTCTTCTGCTCTGACCTTTGCATGCCAAGCTGAGAGCACTGAAACTGCTGCTGCAGCAGCTTCCATCTGTGGCCTAGTGCTTTTCACGGACAGCTGCAACGCCCTGGCAACACACTCAGCTTTGAGGGAAAGGTCAAGAGACCCGTTAAAGCTCTTTCCAAAACGAGAGGGAAGTTTTGAGCAGGACAGATAGGATGATTTTCCTAGTTCTCCTCTGCTCCAACTTTCTCAGCCAGGCTCCACCAAATGTGCTTGCCCTGCTTTGACTTGCCTGATTGTTTTCCTTCTTTAGTGCTTAGTTTCCATTTGCCACAAATTCTGTGGGGCTGCTGCTGCTTGTGCTGAACGGTTACGGCTGCAACACCGGGAGAGCCAGCACCAGTGGGGAAAATAGTGGTGGGGCAGAGAGCAGGGCTGGCCTCGCCAGGGCAGGAGCTCATCCGTGAAGCAGTCTCATGTGTGATTCTGAGGGTGCTTTCCTCAGGCTAAGCTGTGAAAATAAGCATGGACTGCCTTAAGAAGAGCTTTGCTTTGAACTAGAGAAGCCCAGACGCTCCCAGTGGGTCCCAGAGGCTGGGCCCAGCCCTACCATACATACCATACAGCCCTACCATAGCACCCAGCTCTCTCAGCTCAGCTGCTCCAACTGTGCTCTGCAAACCTGGGGCCATCCCCAGCCCCGCAGATCTGTGGGCAGCCTATTTAATTCCTGCTTTCTGTGTCAACAGCCACCGTCGGGCACAATGGAAACATTTTTTAAGAGGCACTTTGGGAAGAAGGGGCTGCCGGGCCCACGGCATGCCAGCGTGGTGGCTGTGCCCACGGGCAAGGCCCGACGCCGCTCCCAGGCCGGGCTGCCCTCTGCTTCACTGACCCAGCGCCGTCGTGGCTCAGGTGCCCCACTGCCAGCTCTCTCCTGTTTGCCCCTGACCCGCCGCCGCGGCCCCCGCCGCCGCTCCAGCACCACCCCACCGTGCCTCAGTCCCCGCTTCGCCGTGCAGCAGCGGCGCGGGGGCTGCCCTCCAGCCATCGATGCCACGCTGCTGGGGCCCTCTGTGCTGCTGGCCGGCCTCCTCCCCGCTGGGCGAGAGGGTGCCGGGGATGCCTCCAGCTCCTGGCCTGCAGAAGATGGCGACGGCAGGGTGGATCGGGGCAGATGGTGGGCCGAAGAGAGCTGGCTGGGCATGCTGCCGCGGCTGCGGCCGCTGCAGGCCAGGCTGCTGACACGGGGCCCTCGATGCTTGCGCCGCGCCTCCTCCCACCGCCTGCCCACCGACAGTGGCTGCAGCCGGGCTCCCCACGGCCTGCCGGGCCGCTACCGTCGCCTCAGCCAGCGCCGCCGCTCCAGCGATGTCCTCTGGCCTGGGCTGCTGGCCACCACTCGCACGAGGTGGCTGGCCCAGCAGTGCGCAGGGGCTGCCTTCCCTGAGTGCTTGGAACCAGAACCAGCCTGCTGCCCCGACGGCTGGAGCCCCAGGCTGCTGTATGTATGGTGGTGCGCAGGAGGCGATGCTGTGGGAAGGGAGGCTGGGGTGGGCAGGGTGGGATGGGCAGGGCTATGTGTACCAGGTAAGGCTGCTTCAGGCTCCACCGCATCTTGGAGAAGCATCCTGGGGCTTTTTGCTTGACAGCCCAGCAGGCTTTGACACGCCATTCTTCCTCCCCTGAGCTAATAGCTGGCCCTCCTGTGTTTTCCAGGAAAGCTATTGCCAAGTCCAGCCTCCAGCACATGGTAGCCCAGCCAAACCCCATGCTAGCCCTGAGGAGCGAGTCAGAGAGGCAGATACGCAGCACTGTGGACTGGAGCGTAAGTGGTGATGTGCTTCGCTGGGTGTTCCGTGGGACAGGCTCCTGACCGGGAAGCAGCAGGCTTTTCCCTTGCTGAGGCTTCCCAAGTGACTTCGGCTTTGACAGTTTTATGGCCTCTGCTGTGCCACCATCTGGTGCCACTGTCTGTGCTGCTGGCAGCACCCCTTGGCACTGTGAGGAGAAGCATGGGCAGCTCCCCGGGAAGGTGGCACAGCTTTTCCTCCTCCAGCTCAGCTCCTGGCAGTGGAGGTTTCCTGGTGGCTGGGGCTGAGCACCAGGACAAGCTCCTGCTCCTCCACAGGCAAGGCCAGGCAGGCTGCAAGCTGCGCCTTTAGGTCACAGAGTGGAAACTGTTTTTCATGTGATGAACTTTCCCCAGATTCTCCTTTCAGGTGTTGGAAGCAGCACCTCTATGCAGGACATTTTGTAGCTGGGCTGGGGATCTTTGCAATGGGATCTGAACAAGGGGAGAGTTGGTTTCCTGGGGCAGTCTGATTTCCTCTGTGGAGATGTTGGCCCTGGTTTCTCGATAAATCTTGATACCTTGCCAACACTCAGCTCCATTTCTTCTTTCCCACCTCATCACATAACTTGTCCCTGGCACAAAGCAATTTAGGGATGGGGTGATCATTTGAGGATGCTCAGAGGAACATGTTGTCTTGTGCCTTTCAGGAGACTGCAGTCTATGGGGAGCACATCTGGTTTGAGACCAATGTCTCTGGGGATTTCTGCTACGTTGGGGAGCAGAACTGCATGGCCAAGCTGCTGGTAAGTCGCCTGGGGTCACTCGCGCTCCCTGCGTGCTCCTCAGCTGCAGGCTGTGCTGCCACCCGGTGGAGAGACCACGAAGAACCTGGTGCTGGGAGAAGTGGGAGCCTGGGGAGCTGGCAAGGGGAAGAGGATGAGTCTCTGTGTGCTGCAGTGCTGCCATTCAGTTTTCAACAGGAGTCTAGTGCAGAGCTGCACACAGCTGCAGGTCACTGCAGGGAGGGGTTGTTGGGATCACACATGCTTAGTGGAAGAATCTGAATCTAGTTTCTCTGGAAAAACCTTTCAACACAGAGGAAGAATGAGCAGTGGAGACCCAGACCTGCTGTCCCTTCTCCTTGCATGCTTGTACTGGAGCCCCAACAGGCCTTGCAGCAGCATAGCTGCACTTCTCTCTCCCTGCTTGCGGACTCAATCCTGTTTGTGGTGCAGGATCTACAGCACTGATGCCACCATGTGCCTGCCCCCTAGCCTTATACTGCCACCAGATGAGCAAAAGCTTTGGGCCAGACTGTGAAAGTGCTTCCCAAACAATGTCCTGTTTTGTTCTATGGGAGTGACAGAAGAGGCAAAGGACTGCTTTGGCAGTGGGAGAGCACCTCCCTGTTGTGCTACAGACTCAAGAGCATCTGCTCTAGGCATGTGCTTAGATCCTGTTACTGGCAAGGTGTCTAGATTGTACAAAATTCCTCTAGGACTTGTTCTTTACATCCTGAAATATATGACGGAAGCATGAGAAATGGTTGAGTTTCTGGCCTTCTTACTCTGCTGTTCACATGCATGTTTTTCCTCCCATTTTCTCATCCTCCAGCAAAAACCTCTCTCCAGGCGTAAGTGTGCAGCATGCAAGATCATAGTGCATACACCCTGCATAGAACAGCTGGAGAAAGTGAGTAAAACCTGTTAAGCCCTCTCTGTGGCTTCCAAAGCTCTGACAGTATGATACTGGCCATTCCTTTCTCTGGGGTAGCATAGGAGGATTGGAAACTGCAATGTGTTGCTGGAAAGAGACAGTACCAAAAGGAGCACTATTTACTCTATTGGGAGTCCTGACCCCATTTTGTTTAATGACAGAGGTGGTGGGTTTTTCAGTCAAGCATTGAACATTGCCAGAGGTTCTGCTATACTAAAATAAACTCCAGTAGGTTTCGTCTTGGTGGTGATTTTACTGATTCCTATCATGTGTGTTCAATCCACAGATAAATTTCCGCTGCAAACCTTCCTTCAGGGAGTCGGGATCACGGAACGTACGGGAGGTGAGATGTGAGCCTTGGATGCTGCCTATGGCTGAGCACTTGCCTTTCCAGTTTGGTTGCAAAGGGATCAGCTGCTGCCAGCACGCTGCCCATCAAAGTGCTGGCATTGTACTGCCTTCTGGCTCCAGAGGGGAGGTGCAGTAAAGAATGTTTCCTTGCCAAGCAGCAGCACAGTCTGGGTATAAGAAGAGAGGAGGTTGCAAGCAAGAGGCAGAGCATCTGCTGCTTTGTATGTTATATAGCTCATGTATCTGCATGGGAGGAACACGCAAACAGTGTTTCTTGAGAAGGGCAAAGAACCCCTTCTTTGCTGATGTCCAAGCCAATAGAGCAGGCTGTGGCAAGCAGCAGTTCCCCAAGTTTCCCACAGTTTGGCAGGGGGCAGCGCAGGCTCAATTCTTGCTCTATTGCTCAGATTTGCCCAGGGTGCCACAGGTGATCCTACAGCAATGGAAAAGCACCCACGGTGGTGCTGCACCACTTTTATCTGCATTGTAATGTAGTGGGTGTAAGCTGGGACCTACCTGCTGAGCTGCACTGGTGAAGCACCTGCCAGCCTTCATGACTCATCTTCCATCCTCTCTCTCCAATACTCCTCAGTTTACCTAAAGGCATCCCATTTCCGTAGAAAAGCATTCTTCCAGAATTTTTACTGCCTGGTTCTGTCCCCCTACAATACTCAAAGACCCCACTGTGAGGTATCCCTGTTTCCACCATCCTGCAAGCACCAGCCCTTATGCATAGTGCAGCTGTGGGCAGGGAGAAGGTGCCCATGAGCAACTCTGTTCCTCTCCTTGCAGCAGGTTAGCAGGATTTTATCTGGGGAGAAGAGCAGGCTGAATTGGGCATGGGGCCTTTGGGGCTACTTCTTTCCTTGAAAAAACACTGTTAGAACTGGGCAGGTTGCTAGGAGCAGGCAGCTGACTTGGCTGCAGGCACTCCTGTTGTCTTGCTGTGTGCAGAAGCTGTGTCTCACTGGGAATTTTCACTTTGCCCTGGCACCTTTTTCACCCTTCACTTTTGTCATCTGGTCAGAGATATTAAGAGAGAGAGATACGGTTTATGGCCAAAGTAACATTATAGGCTATTGCTTACCCATTCTGTTGTTCACTTTCTGTGATTCTATCTTCAATTTCTGACTCTTCCTTTCTGATTTGGTTCTTTGTTTTGTCTTGTTTTTTCCTTTTCTTTGAGCACCGCAATTTGGTCTTGTGCCCCTAAGTTCTTTGGCTTTGCCTTCGCAGAGGTTTGGTGCTGGTGCACAGGGGCAACAAGCTTGCTACAAGAGCAGAGGTTCTGGCTGGCCTGTGCCTGTTCCTCTTGCCTGTTCCTATGTCCTTGTATGCATCGGGGCTTTCACTTTTTTTTTTCTTTTTTTTTGCCCTTCAGCCCATAGTTGTCCGGCATCACTGGGTGCATCGGAGGCGACAGGAAGGGAAATGCCGGCAGTGTGGCAAGGTGAGAGGACATCTTGGTGTGTTTTTCCTCAGCCTGAAGGGGAGCTAAGGTCAAACAAGGGGCAATAGCAGGACTGGGAAGTAGAATTCCTGCCTAACATACTTCTATTCCTGCTAGGCAGGAGCAGCCTATGGCAAAACCAAAACTAGTGGCCTGTTTCACACAGTGAAGCACTACATAATTGCTACATGTATAAAGTTGTTCTCCCCCTGGGCCCTGTCAGTCCTAGAAGGAACTGTCTTCCTGATGCACTATCCCTGGGCAATAGAGATGCTCCTGCAAAGCGCACAGCAATCTCCCTGGTACTATAGGGTGGTGGCTGGGGCTATCTGACAGGGATCAAGAGGGCTCCAGGTGCTGGCACACTCACTTTGTTTATATATCTGGGAAAGTCCTATTGGATGGCAGAAAGCTGTAAGGGAATTCCCTAAGCCTCTCATCCTTCCCTCTGCAGGGTTTCCAGCAGAAGTTTGCCTTCCACAGTAAGGAGATTGTAGCCATCAGCTGTTCTTGGTGCAAGCAAGCGGTGAGCAAAGCCCCATTGAACATCTGCTCTAATGACCTCTGCTTTTAGCTGGGACCCCCCAGGTTTATCCTCTGCGGCCTGCACTACAGCTACTCTTACCAAGATAGCTGGGAGCTGCTATGGGAAGCTTTCTTCTCAGCCCCTCCTAGGGGAAGCCCTTCCATTACGAAACTCCTGTATCATTTCCTACAGCTCTCCTTTCACTGGCACAGGGCAGCTGGGAGGAGAAATGGAGTGGGCTGAGTTTTCTCTGTCTCTCTGCTTCTCCAGTATCACAGCAAAGTGTCATGTTTCATGCTGCAACACATCGAAGAGCCCTGCTCACTAGGAGCTCACGCTGCTGTTGTTGTTCCTCCCACCTGGATTTTGCGGGTCCGACGGCCCCAGGTAAAGCATATCAGCTCTTGTCTTTTTGCATGGCTCCTGCTTACCCAGCAGTTCCTCATATAGTGTTTGGGTTTTTGTCTTTTCAGAATCCAATGAAATCCAGTAAGAAAAAGAAGAGGACATCATTCAAGCGAAAATCCAGCAAAAAGGGTGCTGAGGTAAGAAATGAGAGGGGTTGGGAGTGACCTTGTGTTGGAAAGGTGGAGATGCTGTGCAGTGAGGAGCAGAACTGGGAAATCAGGGCGCTATTCAGGGACTGCACTGAGGTGCGAGGTGAAGGAGAAGGGGGCTGGGGCAAAGAGGAGCCTTGGGAGTGGCTGAAGATCTCAGATTGTCACAGAGCTGAGAAAAGCTGAGGTGAGTTATGTCTGCTGGCAGGGCACATCCTAGCTATTAGATTTATGCAGTGGTTGGGATATTCTCTTCTTTCCACTCTTGATCTATGTGATGTTAGCTGGAGGTGGGAGTTTGCATTTCACTAGGTCTGTTAATGGTCCTGTGGTGTCTTTTGCAGGAAGGGAGGTGGAAACCTTTTGTCATCAAGCCTATGCCAGCTCCTCTCATGAAGCCCTTGCTGGTGTTTGTGAACCCCAAGAGTGGTGGGAATCAGGTATGGTCTTGCCCTTCATCTCCCTGAGAAGGCAGCTCTTTGCCATTTGGCTGCTGAGAGCTCAGAACAGTTTTAGTAGTCTCAGCTGCAAAAGGGGCTAGAAACCTTTGCTGTCAGTTTGCTTCCAATGCTGTCCTCTTAACCCGGACTTTGCCTGAGTACCCCAGAACACTGCTGTATTGACCCGTCACCAGGCTTTCTTCCCTCTGCTCACTGAGAACTGCCCGTTACCTGAAATCTTTCTTACCCCCTAGGGAGCCAAGATCATCCAGTCCTTCATGTGGTATCTCAACCCACGGCAAGTTTTCGACCTCAGCCAGGGCGGTCCCAAGGAGGCGTGAGTACTGTTTGCTGTATTTCAGTTTACCCCTGCAGTAACACATTTTCCTGGCTGCAGTCTCAGTGTCTGTGCCCTCCCCTCCTGACCCTCCTTGCTCCTCGCAGGCTGGAGTTGTACCGCAAGGTCCACAACCTACGGATCCTGGCATGTGGGGGAGATGGCACGGTGAGTCCCCCAGCCCCTTCACATCCACGCTACCCTTTGCAATACCCTTTTGGCAGCCCTCCTCACTGTAGTCCAGAACAAGGCAAAACGTGTGCATTGTGTTGTGCCTGTGATACAGCTGGTAGCACCAAGTACTGTGGGTCCCCTCACGCACAGCTCCCAGGAGGTCTAGTTGTGTGGAGTGTCTGCATTTGTGGCCCTTTCAGAGGAACAGTGTCCCCTCTCGGGCTGCTGGTATCTCCTGCAGCACTCATTTGAAGTATTAAAGAATGTGAATAGCCTCAGTAGTGCCAAAGGAAACCTGTTTCTGCCTCTCTGGCTGTGGCTAGTATCATGTCATGTCACCTTCATGTCACCTTCATCTGCCTGTTGTTCCGTGAAATAACCAACTGTTCCTCTGCACCCTCTTTCACAGGTGGGTTGGATACTCTCCATTCTGGACCAGCTGCGCCTCAATCCACCTCCTCCTGTGGCCATCCTTCCGCTGGGGACAGGCAATGACTTGGCCAGGACACTGAACTGGGGTGGGGTAAGTGACAGGCCGAAGAGCCAACTGTGGCCAGAGGTGGACAGATTGCTTTGACTGATGCGTTTGCACCTCCTTATCCTAAATGCAGACCAGTAAATAAGTGCCATTTGGACATTACTGTTCTTCTGACATATAAACTATTCTGAATTAGATTATAATATATTAGAACATTAACAAAAGCAATCATTTTTCAAACTTTTGGGATATTTCTAGAAAGAAGATGCATTGTTTTTAAATTTAAAGTCCCATTTGGTTGTTATGCATTCAAGTAGAATCTCTCTTTTCCACATACTTTCCTCTGAGATGTTTTCCCACAGTCCACTGTCTCTGAGACATCCCTGGGAGGCAGATAGAAGACAGGTTCTCTTCTTCACTAGGGTTACACAGATGAGCCTCTGTCCAAGATCTTGTCACATGTGGAAGATGGGAACATTGTGCAGCTTGATCGCTGGAACCTCCGTGTGGAAGCAAACCCTGAAGCAAACCCTGAGGAAAAGGATGAGACAGCTGCTGACAAGGTGGGACATCTCTCTGCCTTAGTTGCCTATTCTGCTGGCGTGTCTGCTACTCTTATGCACGGCGGCGGGTGGGCTGAGTGCCACACTGCCTTAAGCCTCTGTGATACGTGTGCCTGGACATTGCCTGTCCTGCCTTGAGACCTGTGCCAATACCACAAGGCCACTGAGTACAGAACAACAGATAAGAGCTGGCCCACTGCCTCAGGCTGGTCACCTCTGTGGTGTTCTGGAGGGACAGCTGATCTCCACTCACCCTTGTGAGCACAGTGCATGACTTGCCTTTGCCATGGCCACACAGTGGCAGCCTCATTCTGCCAACATGAGGATTTGCAACCTTGTTCCTCCCTTCCATTTCAGCTTCCTTTGGATGTCTTTAATAACTACTTTAGCCTTGGTTTTGATGCGCGGGTGACGCTGGAATTTCATGAATCCCGAGGTACGTGGCAGCAGAGTGCAGTGGGGCTGCAGCAGGTCTGCAGTCAGGGGCACCTCTGTGACACATCATAAATGATCCTTGAAAAAGTGGACAAGAGGATTGATGCCAGAACAGAGGTGAAATCAGAGGGATGAGAGGAGTTGTTGAGGGAAAGAGGGATGTGTGCAATGGCAGTGAGCTGGGAACTGTCCTGGCCAGGGCTGGCTAGAAAGCCATGTTTGGAGAAAGCAGGCAAGGAAAATATTTATATGTTCAGGCCAATGACTTGGATTTTTTTCTCTTTTCCTTAGAGGCCAATCCAGAGAAGTTCAATAGTCGGTTTCGGAATAAAATGTTCTATGCTGGGGTGAGTGCATGAGGGTATCTAGGCATTCCCTCGTAGATTCAGCTGGAACATAGGCATGGCCCCAGCTCCTGTCCATTACCTAAATTCACTCCTCTGAGTTACTGTGCTTTTGCATACACCTAAGCTGAGCCTTGCGCCTGAAACTGGAGAGGTGCTGGAAAAGGTTTGCAGCGCTGGGAGTTGCAGGTCTGCCTGGCTGCAGACATTACTGGTGATATAGCGTTCTCTCTGGCCTGTGGTATAGTTGCTCCCTTGATCTCCTGCCACTATTGTTCTCAGGCTCGAGGACAGTCAGCCAGGCAGGACCTCCTCAGAGCTGTGGGAAGGCAGAGGAAGGGAAAGCCTCTCCATAGAGTCCTCAGGCTACTTTGGTCTTTTATTTTTTTTAAACCTTGGGCCGTTTGCAGCTCCCTGGCTAATTATGCCTTCTAGAGCTTTGCATCTTATTGTCTTATTTATGTGTCTGTCCCCTCACCCACAGTTTACCTTCCTACCCAAGTGGGGTGACTGGTATTTTAGCTGTACTGAAGGCCAAGTGCTGCTCTGTACCATCTCACATGTCTCCCACCTATATCCCCTATTCCGTTATTTCTAAACAGTCTTATCAGTGTTATGCTCAAAACTGAAATTGTGTCCTGTAACTCAAGTGCCTCAGTAGAGATAACCCACCTTCCCTAAAGCCAGGACTGGGCTGGCAAGGAATGGTTGGGTGTGTTACTGAAGCTGTGAGGTGCCCCAAGGTTTTTGGTGGGCAAAGTGGCAATGGGAATGGATCAGGTTGTTTTGGGAGGGTGAGAGAAGAGGGCTTCTCCAGTCAGTGGGGAGAGGGTTTACTCCTCTCAGCAGCTGGGGTTTGAAGGTTGGTGGCAGGCTTCCTGGCTGCCCATTTCAGTGAATGTCTGGGCACTAACTCTGTCTCTTGCCTTGGCAGACGGCTTTCTCCGACTTCCTCACAGGGAGCTCCAAAGATTTAGCGAAGCACGTCAAGTTGGTTGTGAGTGTGTGGCGGTGCACTGGGCCAGGGAGGAGGGCAAACTGTATAGGGAGTGAGGAGCAGCTGCTCTAAGCACACTGTGTGTCTTAGGGCTGGGGGAGATGGTGTGTTCCTTGGGGCATCACCTTCCCTTGGCTTGGAAGATGGTCGCCCTGAGGAGCAGAGGGGGAGGCTGTTTCACCCTGAATAGCTAGGGCGGGCCAGACTCCTTCCTTATAGCAGCCTAAGTGCCCCTGTGTTTGTCTCCAGTGTGATGGGGTGGACCTGACCCACAAGATCCAGGACCTGAAGCCCCAGTGTTTGGTCTTCCTGAACATCCCCAGGTGAGCAGTCCCAGGACCTGCTCTAGTGCACTGGCCTACTGACTGCCATCCAACAGATCTGTGCCCAGGTTTGAGGGTGTTGTCCAAGTGTTGTTCACTGTCCTTTCACAGATACTGTGCAGGCACGATGCCCTGGGGCAACCCTGGAGAGCACCATGACTTCGAGCCGCAGCGCCATGATGATGGCTGCATTGAAGTCATTGGCTTCACTATGACTTCCCTGGTGAGTTTGTTTGTGCTGGTGGTAGCTTGCAACCAGGGGAGTGACCAGTCCTATTGCCCAGGTGTCAGTCAGCCCCACTGCTTCACAGTTCCTCTCCTGTGCTGGCCTGTGTGACATTATGTTTTCCCTCAGATTTAGGCAGGATGCTGTCTTGCACTGGTCTCTGTGGATTCCTTCCCACTGAGATCAGGTCCAAAACCTTCAGAACTCAGTTCACCATCTGGCTGACAGTGGATGTTTTCCCCATCCATCTCTCAGTCTGTGCTCTGCTCTCACTCTGGACTCTTTCACAGGCTGCATTGCAGGTGGGTGGCCACGGGGAGAGGCTGTGTCAGTGCCGGCAGGTAGTTCTCACCACGTCGAAGGCCATCCCCATGCAGGTAGATGGGGAGCCCTGCAAGCTGGCAGCTTCCTGCATCCACATCTCCCTGCGCAACCAAGCCAACATGGTGCAGAAGACCAAGCGGCGCAACTCCATGCCTCTGCTCAACGAGTAGGTTCCTCAGATCAGTCTGTCATCTCCTCTCCAAAGCAGAAGGAGGGGATGGAGAAGGGGGGGGAATGATCTATCACTCCCAGGAGCATTTTGGTCCTCTCAAGGTGGAGCTGGAAAGGGCCCAGGCTGCAGAAGTGTGCCTAGAGTCTCATATCAAAAAAGCTGCTGGTGGCAATCTCCCCACTCCACCCTGGGCTTTTGCCTGTATTGGAGGAGTAAGGTGCATAAGGAGGAAGTGAGTTATCACCTTCTGATCCCTTCTCTTTTCCCTTCCCGTGGCATGCAGCCAGCAGCCAGTGCCTGAGCGGCTGCGAATCCGAGTGAGCCGAATCAGCATGCGCGACTACGAGGCACTGCACTATGACAAGGAAAAGCTGAAGGAAGCCTGTGAGTGACCAGCTGAGTAACAGAGGGGTGGGAACTGCACTCCCTGAGTCCAGCAGTGCCTGCAGCTGAGCTGTGTGAGGTACTGGGGATCGGGCACAGCTTCCTGAGTTGTATGTGTGTCCCATTTTGTGCAGCTGTGCCGCTGGGGATCATCGTGGTTCCAGGGGACAGTGACCTGGAGTTGTGCCGGACCCAAATTGAGAGGCTGCAGGAGGTGAGGCTCTGTGTAGAAGAGGTTGTGATTGAGTGCTGAGTTTGGAGGGAATCAGAAGGATTTCTAGGCTGCCTTGATCTGCCCGCACCAACACTCACGTTCCTGCTTCTGGTAGGAGCTCATGATTCACTTTCACCACATGGTGGAGGCAGGTTCCCGAGCTGGACGGCATGATTCTCCCTGCCGTCCAGCAGCTTATTTCTTTGCATTGCTCTTCTGACCTTGTTCTCCAGGCTATGAGTGTCATTGGCCCAGAGAGATTCTGTGGCAGAGGAAAAGGCCAGCACAAGACCTACTTCCTTCTACATGTCTGGGGAGGCTTTTCCTCTGCCTTTGTTTGCTGTACTGTGTGTTCCTTCAACCTCCTTTTAACCTTCTACAGGCTTTGCATTTCGGGGCACAACTCTGCTTCTCCCTTGATGCCCAGATTAGGGTTGTTTTCCCCCCAATACTCTTTATTTGCAAGTAGTAACTTCATTGCTCTTGCAAGTGTGCTAATGTGTGTCCCCCACCTGTACACAGGCTGCATAACCTTCGCTCCTGATGAGCAATGTCTTCTGAGTCCACAGTGTGGCTCCTGGTGTTGTACTGCACAATCCGTTTTTCTCCCAGTTTACAGAACCTTGCTCAGTCCATAGTGAGCTGGCACTTGCAGCCTAGGCTGTCTTAAGCATGAGGCTAGGAGACTCCTAAGCTCAGAGGATACCACTTTCCCACATCATCAGCCTGGTAGCCACCTCCAAAGCAGTGCTGATGTTCCTTGGTCACCTAATGTTTTTCCTGTTTTCTCTTCTTGAGCTATATTATGTTTCCTGGTTCTGGATTGGGGCAGACTTTGGCCTGGTAATGTGTAAAGCTGCTTGCCATATCTGCAGTAGGGTGACAGTGCAAACCTCTGTGGGACCAAAGAAGGGATAGGGGGATGCCCAGGCAAATGCTGTAACAACATGCCTTGCCTTTCTGCAGGATTTCTCTCCACAGCCCTCTGCTTTGCAGCGCCTGCTCTTTCAGGTGTGTACGGCATCTCACCATCCCTCAAGCCCATCTGTCATGTGCATCATGCTTGTCTCATGGGCTCATCTTCTGGCACTTCTCCAGTGAGCTGGTATGTCAGCTCTGCTCTGTCCTGTGCTGCCCTCCATCACAGTGTTCGAAGTCCTCATTCCTGTCCAAGCACCTGCAACCCTCCAATCCACAGGGACCTCCCAAAACAGGAGGGACACGCTGGGGAGAGAATAGAGGAGCCAAGTGACATCGCTGTATTCTGTTTTTTCTATGCAGGAAGGAGATGGAGCCAAACCGAAGACACTGTCATCCCAGAAACTGTCACCAAAATGGTGCTTCCTGGACTGTGAGTATCATCATCTGCTGGGAGTGCTCTGTGCCTGAATCTGGAGTATGACAATATAGACCTTTAGGGCAAGTCATTGAGAGCCACGTGGGACTTGAGACTCAAGGATGTTGGGATCCCTGCAGCCAAGTTCAGCAGTTCACAGCCCAAGCTGTGCCTCTGGCAGCTAACCATGAGTAGAGCGAGCAGCCTGCCAGGCAAGGGCTATCTGCTGCTCTCCAGCCCCGGAGCTGAACACAGCCCTGTATGCCCTGTCTCTTCGGGACTGGTGGGGTTGCTCTTCTGTGGCATGCAGGCAGGGGGCCCCCATGCTCTAGCAAACTGGGAGTGAGAAATCACCTTGTATATCTGGGAAGTATGGGAACAGTTTCCCCACTGCTTTCCAGCTACTTTTCCCCATTCTGGAAACAGCTTTTTTCTCTCCCTCTGCCTTCACTGACCTGGAGGTCAGAGCTCTCTGTGTGTATCTGGAAGCTGAGATAAGTGACTATCACTTGACACTTTATCTCCCTGACTTGCAAGAGGAGTTTCCAATTGCCAGCAGCAGGGCTTAGGGCAGAGCAAAGCTGTCTACTTCCTGTGTACTCAGGGCAGCACACAGCTGCTTAGCCCTGCATGCAGGAGGGCTTAGCAAGGGCCAGGGAGAAAGACAAGGACAAGAGCCACTCCTAGCCTAGACCAGGAAAAACAGACCTGTCTCGAGAGCTGGCAATCACTGCTGATCAGGTAAAGGCCATCTTGGATATAAGTGAGATGCTTCAGAGGTCCTGGCAGGTCATCTGGGAAAATTGTCCTTTCTTCTTATCTCAGTGGAGATGCTGCTGTATTTCCCCTGAGATCTCGGGTCTCCAGCATGTGTGTTGGTCCCTCTCACCCTGCAAGGGACATCAGGTACAGCCAGAGGCTGCAACATGGGCCTGAGAAGCCTCATACTAGGGTGAAAGGATGTTGCTTCTCCCTTGGGGCCTTCAGACCCTTCACGAGGGGCTGCTGGGATGGCTGCTCCCAGGTGTCCCTCCTCCAGCCAGTCTCCCAGCAGCAGGTTCTGAGCTCAGGAGAATGCGTCAGGAAAGGAGCCAGAGCCTCATTCAAGACAGCACAGTCTTGTTAAAGCAGCTGAATTATAGGCCTTCAGCAGCAGCTCCATGGCTGTAAATCTCTAGCCAGGATAGAATAGATGAAGCTCTTTCACTCCTCTAATCCGATCTGGGCAATCCCCACTCAGTTTGCAGAGAATTCCCGGGGCCCCCAAGGGTCCCAGTGCAGCAACCTTGCCTGGGCAGCCAAGAATCACTCTGTCTGATTCTGTCCCTGTCTTGCAGCAACCACAGCAGATCGATTCTACAGGATAGATCGCGCTCAGGTGAGTGTGGGAAAAACAGCCTGAAACATAAGCTCTGAGGGGGGGACATTCAGGAGCCACTAAAAGCAACTCCGACTGTGTGAAGCTGGGTTGCCTCCAGGTATCATCGGGGGTGTGCTTTAAGCTGAGGCAGAAATCTTGTGAAGGTCTGAGGTCCTTTTGAAAAGAGATGGGATTTGTGCCAGCCTGGGGTGAGGACTGGGGGAATCGAGGCAGGAAAAGCATGCCTGACCACAGCCTCAGGCACTGGTGATGACAGGCTTCACAGGAGTAGACAAGGTGGGATGCAGCTCCCTTCTTTTCTGTCTGTCTGACTCCTTGAGGCTCCACATGGTGCCCCTTTCTGTCAGCTTCAGTCAGCTATAGTCCTGTGGGCAAAGGCTTTTCAGAGTGGTATGAAAGGTGTGGGGTTTGAGGGGTTGAGAGATGAAGCTATACAGATGTAGGCCTTGCTTCCAAAGAGGCTGACTTTTGCATTCCAGGAGCACCTCAACTATGTGACAGAGATCTCTCAAGATGAGCTCTATGTGCTGGATCCAGAGCTGGTGATCACCCAGACCGTAGGCACATCTCCTGCCATGCCTGATCTTGTCGACTCATCTGCCACACCTCCTGGGCACCATTTTGCTTTCCCTTCCTCTTCCTCCTCTCCACCCTGCTCTCCTGCCCCCAGGTGAGTCTGCAGTGGGAGGAAATGGGTTGCTGGGCCTCAGGAAAGATGAGCAGCAATGGGAAATCCATGGTTGGCTTCACAGCTTCGATTCCTAGGCTGGATTGCAGAGGGGATCCCAGGAATTGAATAAGAGTCCAATGCCAGATTAGACCAAGTGGATGGGATGCTGTCCTGCCATCCTTGCTTCATTGCTGGCTGTGCTGAAGGCAGTAGAGCATCACAGTGTGACTAGGCCACGGGGCCAAGCTCCAGCATCTGGTCTGTGGACATGGGTCAGGCCAGGCTCAGGTGTGGGTGCTGAGAGCAGTAGTGGAAACGGGAGTGGGGCTGGGGAAGAACCCAGCTTGGGGAAGAAGCAGATGGCATGGTCAGAGGGTAGCTGATACTTTGGCCTGCTTCTCCTGCTGGCTGGAGAAGTGCTACAGGTAGGCATCTCCGAGCTGTTCCTCCACTCACCACGTGCATCTTTCAGGCAATGTGCTGCCCAGGCTGGCAGGGTTAGTTACACCTTCTCTTCTCTTCCAGTGCTGATGCTGAGCTCTGCCTCCTGCACAAAGGTGAGTTCGTCTGTCCTCACTGCAGGCGCCAAGCAGGGCTCTCAATCTGTCTTGCTTCCTCTCCTGAACCATTTTGGGTTCCTGCCATTGCTTTCTGGCCTATCCTTTCTCTGAAGTGCAGCCAGAAGCCCTGCAGCTAATGTGCTAGGTGGGGGCAGGTGACCCCAGAGGCAGGCAGCAGTGACCTGATGATGATTTGTGTAGTGGTCTGGCCAGGTGCTCCCCAACTCTGCAAGCTGCACGCAGAGGGCAGGAAATGGCATGGCAGAGGGGTTAATCCCCCACCTGCAGAGCTGTGTGCTGTTGGCTGGGTTGGGGGCTGTTTCTGCCAGGCCGCAGCAGGAGCTCGGGAGGTGGGAGCACAAGGTCAGGGGCCTCGCTGAACTGAGTAAATGGAAAGAGTTTCCTGGAGCTTGAGCAGAGCTCAGAGCCTAGACGTGTGAGTGACTCACGTTGAGAGGCAACCTAGCTGCTGGCTGACACCCAGATCTGCCCCTTGCTTCCCTGCACACATCTCCCTGGGCCAAGCTCTGGTTGCACTGCCAGGTACATACCTCTCTTCTTCCCTCAGATACCCAAGGGTGCAGGGGTCATGTATAATAAACCTGGCTGCTGTTCACCCTGAAAACAAGGGGCTGGCACCTGGAGGAACTCAGCTAACAGCTTTGGGTCTCTGGTGCCCAACTCTTGGTTCCCCAGGTAGATAAATAGCATCACAAGATGGAGTTTTCTGATCCCAACCCATCTCTCTTTGCAGATGACCTGATAGAAGCTGCCAAGAGCGGTAACTTCAGCAAGGTAGGCACTTCAGCTTTGTGCTTTGACATGCCGCTGCCCTTCAGTGGCTCCTGGTGAGGCCTTTCCTCCATGCAGTGCCCAACCAGGAGCAGAGGGTGAAAACCAGGCAGGCTTCTGGCAAGGAGCCTTGGTCCTCAAAGCTCCTCTTCAGAAACAAGCTGCTGGGCACGCCAGGGATGCGGTGCCAGGACTTGGGGAGTTACAGATGAGAACTGAAACTCATCTGGACCTCTCTGCCAATCCCATAGTTCCAAGAGCTGCACCGGGCTGGAAGAGACCTGATGGTGCGAGACTCCTCTGGCCGAACTGTCCTCCATCACGCCGTCATATCAGGGAGCAAGGACATCGTCAAATACATAATTGAGAATGGTGAGCTGGGCTGCTTCACTGTGGCCAGAATGCCACCCTTAGCAAAGCAGGCTAGCAGCCAACAACACCCGACCCTCTGCGTAGAGGGTCCCTCAGATTTGCTGTATCCTCCCACTGTGACATGGGCTATCCTTAGTATCTTTCTGCCAGTGCTGGGTGCCCTGGGCTGTTATCCGATCCTTGCTGTGACCGTCATGTCTCTGGGAAACATCTCTCAGTGTCATGCTTCTGCTTTCATGGGAGCTGACCTGTTGTTTTTGGCAGCTTCCACTGAAATGCAAGCTGATTTATTTTTATTTGGCTGTTTCTCTGTAATGAATCCACAAGCAACTCTTCTTTCCTTATCTCAGCTGAGGTCAGATGCAGTTGCTAGCCTGAGGGTTTTGGAGCCAAGCCCTTTGTGGGCAGTACAGATAGTAGCCCCTACAGCAGGGTGCAGTCTGCAACTGGGGTGTTGGTAGGCCCACCCCTGCATTGTGGCCTGGTCTCACTTGCCCCGTACTCTTTCTCTCCACAGCCCCTTCAGAAATCCTCGATGCCACAGAGGAGGAGAAGTAAGTTATTTCCTGACATTTGTTACTTGTTGGCCATGGTTTCCAGTCCCCAAGCAGCATCCCCTGGGCTGACCATGGGACAGGCACCTTTTGCAGCCAGGGGGATGTCTCTCATGTGCAGCATTTATCCCCTCTTGGTGTGTTTAGGGGGCACACCTCACATCTTCTTTCTTTCTTTCCCGTAGCGGTGAAACCAGCTTGCACCAGGCTGCAGCTCTACGCCACCGCACTATCTGCCACTACATTGTGGAGGCCGGAGCGTCACTCATGAAGACTGACCTGCAGGTGATGGTGGGAGGACTGGGAGGGATCCTGTTGTGGGGCTGGCAGGAGTTGGGCCGTGCAGGCCCGTCTGAAGAGCAGCTCAAGGGCTGGAGTTTTTGCCATCACGCAGCCTGTACATGGGGAAGGCACCAGGGCTGGGAAGAGAGGAGCCGTTTAGGGTCCCCATGGTGCCGCTCAGCCTGCTCTCAGCAGCAGAGGGGTTAAATTCCCCCCCATCCTTTCACTTCTCTCCATGTTGTTTTATTAAATTAGGAGCGAGGCGCTGGAATGTCTCATCCCTGTCTCCCCCTTCCCACCCTGTGGGGTCACAGCGAGGACAGTCTCGCTGTCGAACTCCCTCCCAGCCGCAGGGCTCCCCCCGCAGAGCCAGGACAGAGCACTGGGGCTCCTCGGGTGAAGCAGAATGTCAGCAGGCGGGTGAGGAGCTCTCGTTCACATACCACATTAATTGAGATGTGTCTTGGTGCCAGGAGCTGCTGCCAGCCCCTGCAGAGCAGTTGCAGGAGGGGGACTAAGGCGGTGTTTTGGTCTGCGAGGTTCCTGACATTGCAGCAGGGAGACGTGGTTGTGTTTGTCTGGCAGAGGAGGTGTAGGAGTGGGTCGAGAAGGTGCAGTCTATGGATCTGGGAAAGGACCCCAACCAGGGGCTGGTTGAGCTTAGGGGCCGCCTCAGACAATGAACAGCCCCTTGCCAGCTGCCAGGGAGATGCTGCATACACAATCTCTGGCTCCTGATCACTCCTTCTTTTTCACATGGTGCCCAGAGGGGTGGCCTGGCAGGATACGTGGCAGGCAGCCATGGGACAAGGTGATTACCCGTGAGGGGAGAGAGCCAGGAGAAGGCAGCTGGGGTGGCACGGCCCTTCTCTGCCCTTTGGGAAGAGCTGTGGGATGCTCTGCCTGATGAACAGCCTCAACCTGCCAGCAAAGAAAGAAGCCCAGCTCAGGAATGACAGCCTGCCCCAGGGAACAGGGCTTGCATGTGCCTGTGTGAGTGCGTGCCTGGCTTTGTAGCTCTTTGGGGACCCACCTGCTCATGGTGCTGACCTTGTTTAGCCCCAGGTTACAGCCTGCCTGCACAGGCAAGAACCAGCCTCCACAGAAACTCTGCTGTAGAACCTTTGGCAGACCTATATGTAGCACAGCTGGGGACAGCATGGTCGTGCACTCACAACCCTGAGGGAGGCTGGCCCTTATCAGGTAGCGCACATCAGCCTGTCTGTGCAGAGGGGCCCTGGCAGCTCCAGTTTCAGGCTGCAGATCCAGGCAGGAGGTGGTGCTGGACCAAGGCTTCTGCAGGGGGATGAGGAAGAAACTCTATTCCTCCTTTTTTTTCTTCTTTGTTCAATGCTTGCTTAGATTCAGTGGCTGCAGAGCGGAGGCCCCCAAGGAGAGCCAAGCAGTGAGGCATACAACAGCCTCTAGCCCCCTGCATGCTCAGCACTTCTTGGCATGCCATAGTGTGCGTATGCATGATAGGTTTCTTGGTGGCTGCATGCCTGGCAGCAAGTACAGGAGTGTCCCAGGAGTTTCTGTGCGAGTGTGCAAGAGAAAAATGTGCCTGTGGGTGCCCCCTTTGCAGTCCCACTCTAGTGCATCTTTGCAGTGGGATGTGCTCAAGCTTTTGTTCACGACCGTACCCACACAGCGGAGGCTCCTAGAGCCTGACCATTGTTCACAGTGAAGAAATTCGTCTGTGGGTTGTCATGGGGACCCCTGCACCCCACTCAGTCACCGTGGTCCTGCTGTGTGCCGTGAGATGAGCTGGGCAGCATCGCTTCCCTTCGGGGGCCGCTTTTCAATGGCAGCGGCAGAGTGCCAGGTTTCCGTGGCCTCTCTCAGCAGAGGGTTTGTTCGGCACTGTGGAGCCCAGGCATTAATGAGAAGGAGCGAGGGGCAGGCAGAGGGAGGGGGAGAGGAGACGTAGCGGCGAGCCGTTAACAGATTTGCTTTTTATGGAGTGCGGGAGTTCATTAGTGGACACAGTCCAGATGGCTGCAATAAGCTGGTGAAATGCGATCCTCCTGCGGGAGCAGGAGCACTGGTGAGGCTGCAAGAGGGAAGGGGGGTTGGTATTCTCGGGCATTCCCCAGACATACCCCTCATTCCTCACCCTCTCCCTCCTGCCTCGACAGCGCCGGGGAAAAGCGTGTCATGGGGAGCAGCCTTTGTCTCCTCCGGTGCTCAGCGCACTGATGTGTTACCTTCCCTCTGCAGGGAGACACCCCTAAGCACAGGGCTGAGAAAGCCAATGACCCCGACCTGGCTGCCTACCTCGAGAATCGACAGCACTACCAGATGATCCAGCGGGAGGACCAGGAGACAGCTGTGTAGCGCTCAGCGTGCCTTAGCCCAACCAGCTTGGGCAGGACGAGCAGAGGGCGGCACCTGGCAGAGCTGTGAGTCTGGCCCAGCCCTCCTTATGTGTCAGCCCAGTCGCTGGAGGAGATGGAGACAGCAGGGCTGTGCCCCAGGTTGGGCTGAGACGCTGTTTATGAGGACAGTGGGTATTTGGGACTTGAAGCCCTGCTCTTTGTGTGTCCCCCTTTGCCTCTCATCAACCATGTTCCCCGCTCCAGATGGGCTCCATCCCAGAGCCCCACTGGGGCAGGCAGGGATGTAGCAATCTGTCACCCTCACACAGGGGAGCAGTGGTAGTGCCCCCAGCAGGTTCTTACCTATGACCTGTGCAGGACACCATTGCTCACCCCTCTGCCTGCTAGTGGTAACGCTCCATTAGGCACTTCACCTTGTCCAGAAGAAGCACCATGATGTACTGCCTCCAAGTCCTGTTCTCTCTTGTTGGCCTGGGACTGTCCTTGGGCTCTGTGGCAGGAGAAAAGTTCCCTGTGTTAGAGAATGTGTACCCACCCCTTCCTCAGAGCATCTGGGACTGGCACAGCTGGATGCGGGGCAGTTGCTTTCAGTGCTGGGCCTGTGCTGCTCTCAGGGATCTCCCCGTGCTCCCAAACTATGCGACCGCTGCATATGGCTTCTGCCATCCCCACAAATCAGACTCAGGGTCCTGCAGGGAATCCTTGGAGGTCCCCCAGCCCAGGCACAAGCTCCCTGGGCAGGCTGCCAGCAGGCTGCCAGCACACCTCCACAGGTTTTAGCAGAAAGAGGGATTTGGATGCATAGGAAGCATCAGGATCCCCAGCCCCGAGTCATGCATGTGACAGGATGGCATTTGGGGCACCATCTGCCACGGGACACGAGGCACCGTCTGCCCTGCAGAGGCCGTGAGTGCTGAGGTAGCACAGCAGCCCTCATGCATGCACTTTTTGCAGAGCAGCAGTCCCTGGCTGCAGGGTGCCGGCAGAGGGGGAGGGCAGACGACTGTTGGCATTGGTGCATTCAAGCGGGAGGTGTGTGCAAAGCGGGTCTGGGTTGCAGCGTACAGGTGGGGTCCCAGGAGAAGAGGCCGGGGCATCCCCAGTGTGCACTTGCACCTGACTGTGGCTGTGCTGGGTGACACTGCTCACATCCCCACAAATACTGAAGAAAAAAACATATCATGACACCACAGAGAACCACAATGCTGATCAGGCTTTAGGTTGGGGCAGAGTTACCTTTGAGGCTATGGGGCAGCCGGACCAGAGCAGCACGAGGCTGGTGCTGGGGTTCACTGATTAATATCATCGCTGTTCCGATGGCGATGCTCCAGCAGCACCAGGAGTTCCCATCAGCGCTGCTCACTCGTGGACAAACGCTGTCATGTTCCCAAAGGTGCAGACTGCTGCCCCAGCTAGGGTCCAGCTCCCCCTTCTCCCCAGTTTGTACATCCCCGTTTTTGTACAGGTAGTTCAGAGACACACTGTCCCCCTCCCCGCCAGGCCCCACACGTGAGCTGAGTTGCTGTGCAATTCTGAGCCTGGCTGCTGTGTAGGCAGAGGCGGAGGGGTGTTGGTAGCCCTGCCCGCATGGGGCAGGGGTTCTGTGCAATACCCAGTTCGGTGTTCCCAGACGCTGTGGTAGGACTGTATTTTTGTAACTCTGTGAGTGCCCGCTCTAGCAGGCCCGGGGCCTGGCGTGAGCCCGCGCTCCCATCGCTTTTTGACTTTTGACTGTTTGGATGTTGTTGTTTCTTGCTATTGAAATAAAAAAAAAAGTGGATGTTTTAATTCTTTCCGCTGCGGTGGGCGTGGGGTGGGTGACACGTGGCTGGGGTGAGCCAGGTTGGGCCTCAGCCTCTGGGGCAGCGCAGGGCACCGGCACTGCAGGGATGCAGTGTGGGATCAGCTGCAGCAGGAAGGCTGCTGCCCGCTTACAAGAGCGAAGGATGAGGAAGGCTGCTGCCTCTTGGGATACCTGCACCAGCACCACCAATCCTGCAGCTTCACAGAGGGCAGGTAACCAACCCACACGCTGTGCGATTGCGGTGTTTGTCGCACTTGCTCTCTCCCTCTTTTCCCTCCTTCCTTTAGTGTGAGACCCCTTCCTGCAAACGCAGCCCCCTGCTGCCGGTTGGGGCCGCAGGAACCACTTCCCGCTCCGCACAGCCCCGTTGTATCCGAGGCTCCGTGCTCGGGCACTCCTCACCCCCATCCCCCGGCTGCCTGCCGTTTGTGATTCCTGGCGCCGAAGCAGCTCCCAGGAGCCCGCAGCCCACTCCCAGCGACCTTCCTTCTGGGGAAGGGGCACAAAATGGCTCAGCTGCCCACCTCAGCCCCTTCTTCCGGCCGCCGTGGCCGGGGGCTGGAGGAGAGCTTCGCGTTAGCCCTGCTCGCCCGTGGGGAGAGATGGTGGTGAATCCGTCCATGAGGGCAGAGGGCGAAGGAGGCACCGACGGGGCTCCGCCTGCGATCCGCAGAGCCCCGGGACTCAGCGCCGAAGGGCTCTCGGAGCCCCGGGCCGCTCTGCAACGCTCGCACGCGGGTACAGAGGAACGCAACGACGGCCTCGTAGGGGCTCGAGCCCCCGACAGCCGAGCCGAACCGCGCGGCCCCTCCCCGCTGAGCAGCTCCCCCAGCCCCAGGGGCCGCCCCTCGGCCCGCCGCCAGCCTTTGTGGCTGGCCGTGCTGCCGGGGGGCAGAGGAGGGGCTTGCACGGGGAGTTTGGGCTCCGACCACCTCGGGCTGCCGGCGGGGCCCGACGTCAGGGGCCGCTGTGCTGCGCTGCGCGGGGCTCCGCACGCGGCCGCCACACAAAAGGCAACGGCGCCGCTCCGCGCCGCAGGTGATTGGGGGGGTGGGGGCACACGGAGCTCCGCAGGCGCACCCCCTGCCCCGCCGAGGGAAGGGGCTCGGGGGGCGCCGGGGTTCCCGCGGGGCAGGGCGGGGGCCACCCCCTCTCAGCTCCACGGGGGAGCGGGGCGCACCCTGAGGGTGGGGAGGGGGTGCGGGAACGTTTCTGGGAGCGGGGGGGGGCGGCGCCGTGCGGGGCTCGCGGCGAGGGGCGGCGGAGGGATGGGTGCGGAAAGGCTCCCCGAAGAACCTGGCCTTGGGGGAGACGGAGGGGGCCCGGAGCCCCCAGCGCTCTCGGCCAGGCCGACGGGTGCCGGGGGGCGGGAGCGGGGCACTGTGCCCAGGAAGGGCCGGGGCTCCTCTTTTAAAGCATCACCTGGCGCGTCCTTCGGCTCTGATGCGGGGTCAGTCCGCGCGGGGCAGCGAGGAAGGATGGGGACGGGGCCGGGCCGGGGCGAGGGGGACTGGCGGTGGAAGGTTGCGTTCCGTGCGCCGGGACTGCTTCCAGCGAAGGGGGCAGCGCTCAGCACTCAGAGCTGGGTGCACGCGTGCACATGTATGAGCGCTTACGCGTGTACACGCACTCACCCGCCCGGCAAACGCACGGAGGTGCGCTGGGAGCCGCGGTGCCGGCAGTGGGCGCCGCTCTCCCATTAAAGCGCTCCTCGAGCTCCCACGTTGCGCCTATCCGTCTGTGCGAACTCCGCTGGCTCTGCTCCAGGCCCCTCGCGGCAGGGGGTTCGCTTTCCATGCCTTTCTTCCCCCCTCCGCCCCTGGATTCCGCGGGGGCCGGGCCGAGGCACCGTGGCAGCCCCTGTGCTCCTGGGGCCCGGGGCGATGCGCGGTGCCCATCCCTCCCTTTCCCGCTCCAGGCAGGATGCAGCCCCGGGGCCTCCTCCTCCTCTTGGCACTGCTGCTGCTGGCGGCCACCGCCGAGGCTGCCAAAGCCAAGAAAGGTGAGCGGGCGCCCGGGTGGGCACGGGGAGGTCTGGGTGTGCCGCCCCATCTCCCAGCCACCATCTCCCTTGCAGAGAAGGCAAAGAAGGAGGGTTCCGAGTGCCAGGACTGGCGCTGGGGGCCCTGCGTCCCCAACAGCAAGGACTGCGGCTTGGGCTACCGCGAGGGCACCTGCGGCGATGAGAGCAGGAAGCTCAAGTGCAAGATCCCCTGCAACTGGAAGAAGAAGTTTGGAGGTGTGAAGGTGGCTGTGGGGGGACTGGGGCTGCGTTGGGGCCACACGTTCCTAATGCCTCTCCCTTCCTGCAGCTGACTGCAAGTACAAGTTTGAGAGCTGGGGAGGGTGCAGTGCACAGACGGGTGTGAAAACACGCTCAGGCATCCTGAAGAAAGCGCTGTACAACGCCCAGTGTGAGGAGGTGGTCTATGTGAGCAAGCCCTGCGCCGCCAAGATGAAGGCCAAGGCCAAAGGTGAGTCCTCAGCTCCCCCAGGCAGCGCTCAGGGTCAGAGCTGGTCAGGGAGCTGCTGGTGGTTGCAATAATGCTAACATATCTTCCATGGTCATTGGGTGCAGCTAAGAAGGGCAAGGGGAAGGACTAGAGTGGGGTGGACGATGTCCTCATCGGTCCCGGACACATGTGCCTCTCCCACCACAAGGAGCCACACTCCAGCCGCCTTCCTCTCCTCCTCCTCTTCCTCCTCCTCTCCCCACCTCCTCTGCCACCGAGATGCCTTGTTTAATCGTTAGTTTTGTTGAGAGCAGACCAACTGGCCCTGGGAAGCTGCTGCCACTGCCCTGGGGGCTGCTGCAGCCACACTGACCATTGCTTTGAGTGGTGCCGACTGGATGCTCTCACCTCTTTTGGGAAATGGGTTTTGGTTTCTTTTCCAATAAAATTTTTAAAAAAACATAACTGAGTCAGATCCTGCCTGACATCCCTGTGCAGCGGTGCAGGGCTGGGACCCCAGGAGAGGAAGGGGATCTGGCCCTTCACCTTCACATCCGTCTCTGCTCAGAGTGATGCTATGGGGAGTCGGTGCCGGCATGGGGTTCGTAGCACCACCAGGGTGTCTGCCAATCTCCTGGGACCAGAGGGAGCGGAGCAGTTACTGTGTGCCTGGGGACAGCAGCCTGGGTGCCACCCACATCAGCCCCACAGCAGCACCTCATCTCAGCAGCACTTCAGGCTGCTGCCCTCTTCTTGCTCCCACCCCTGTCCTGCGGTGGGTGACAAAGGCGCATACAGGAATGTTACCGTGAACAATCTGCATCTGCACTCACTGTCCCTATTAGGGCCCATGGGATGCTGAGGACAACACCACATGGAATCCTCAACCTGTGGCCTTTGGTTTCTGGTCCGAGGTCTTTATTTGCTGGGGGTCAGCTGTAGCTGTAACACTTCTCCGAAACCCAACACCAACCCGCCAGGCAATGTGGGTAATGCTATGTCAGGATCCTAAAGGCAGCGGCAGTGAGGGGGGCAGGGCAGCCCTTCTCCAGGTTGCACGGCATTGCCCTGGCATGGAGTGAGACAGACAAACAGACATGGCAGTGTCCCCACATTTCAGCAGAGCCCCAGCCTTGGCAGAAGTGAGGCAACAGCACGATGGGGCCTGGGCTGCACGCACGGGGCCAGGAGGGGCTGGTGGGACCCCACATGCTGAGGACTCTGCAACAGCAGAGGTTGTGGGGTTACGTCCATTTACAAAGCTCAGCGGTCATCTCCTGTGTCCTCCCTGGGGCCACCGTGGTGGGACAATGTCCCACACTGTCCCCACAGGTCCCTAGGCCAGGAGGTGACATTGAGACAAGGAGGGAGCTCAGCACTGCTGCTTGGACACAGCCCCAACCTCATGAGTGGACAGTCCGAGGGCCTTCTGTGCGCACACCTAAGCCATCCAAGTCCAAAGTGGCTGGCAAAATTTGGGCCCGCCTGTTTCTTTTCATCTTGGGTAATAAATAGTCTACAAGGCTATTGAAAGCACCCAGCGTTAGGCTGTTTGTGTGCAAACAAGCTCGGACAGCCGGGAGACAGTCAGCCACAGGGAGAAGAGGCAGCCAGTCTGATGAGGAGTACTGATGCCTGTCGGCCAATACATCCAGGACAGGAGCTGGGAGGGCTCTGGTTAGCACATCTGGCCTCAGCTCGCCTTCCTCCCCATCCCTTCAGTGAGTCCCTGGGCTCAGGATGTGCTGCAGCTCAGAGGTGCCGTGGACTTTTGTCAGCACTATAGGGCACCACCTGCCAGCACTTCGCAGTCTGCGCTTCTGTGAGAGGGAGCAGAGGACCTCTCCAGGTGAATGAGACGAAGGGGAGGACTGCCGTAACGTTGCTGAAGTGGTCCCTGAGCACCAGCTTACCTGGCCGTGCCAATGTTCCTGTACTGGCACATGAGGAGGTGCTTAAAGGTTTTCTTGAACGTGGCATTACAGAGGGCATAGCAGGCTGGGTTGATGGTGCTGTTGACGTAGCAGAGCCAGTAGCCGATGGACCACACGGTTTCCGGAACGCAGGTCTCGCAGAAGGTGTTAATGAGGACCATCACGTTGTAAGGAGTCCATGTGAGTATGAAGGCTAGCAGAATGGCAAATATGGTCCGGGTGACCTTCTTCTCCCGGGCTGCCATCTGGCGCTTCTTCCGCACTTGGCTCCTGGCGATGCTGGCAAACTTCCTGGCGACATTGGCAGGGCGGCTGTTGGACAGGGAGTTGTGGTCAGAGGCTCCTGCCTTAGCTGGGACGATCTCGATGGCGGTGACACATTCGGTCCCAGTCTGCTTGGTGACGATTTTTATCTTGGACCACTTGGAAGTCGGGTTCACCCGAGGATGGGAGGGGCTCTGTCCTTGTCCTGCTGGCGAGATTTCCGTTGTGGGCTTGTCTTTGGTGGTCTGGGTCATGCTGACTGTGCTGGACTCATTGGAGGTCTCCTTCTCCTCCTGCTGGCCAGCGGCCTCTGTCTGTGCAGAGGGCTGGTCA